GATCTGAAACTAAAAATAATAATGATCGTAGTGATCCTTCATTTAACAATTTCAATGTATGTATTATACAAGAAACACACTCGGAAGCAGGCTCTCAAGGCTGCAAAATCTATGGCAAGTTTACCAATGTAAAACGTTGGGACGACCTACATCAACAGTCGGTAAAGAACCTTACCTGATGGACAGTGAAAAGTATAAACTCGAACTATGACAAAATGTGAAGTAAACAAGAATCAAGTGACCGTAATCGTGAAGCCCACAATACTCAGGTTTCAAACACCAATGAACTAGTGACGAAAGTGCAACGATAAATTGCTACAGTGCTCTGGTTGCGGACCGCAAACGGGCCGAGGCTGTACCATAGCGTGAAACGTGAAACCCCTTCTGCAATCAGGTGAATCAGCTGTGCGGTGAAACTATGCTAGGATCAACATTAGGAGATCAGAACGAGCGTGTAGGAAAGCACCTACACCGTGTCCACAGTGAGCAGCGAGTGTAGAGGAGCGCGCCTCCACTCCACCTAAACCAGGTGTCAACGAACGATGGAACAAGGCAATCAATAAGGTAATCTAACTAACGACTCACACCCTCCCCATTTGGACAAACTGTTAGAGCTATGGAAAAGTTTAACTGAAAGTGTTTCATCAGTGCTATTATCTTAATTATAATCGGAATGATTCAATTATTAATTTCCGCTTTAGTGTATAATAAACCTTTATATTAGTTGTATTCATTTTAAATGATAGAATCAATTGAATTAGACATTCAAACTTTGATAAAAATTCAAAACAATTTGAAAAAGTCCATTAACAAAAAATTCAAAAAGGAGACTTTACAGTCCAAACGGCAATACATATTAGCTATTTTTAACGATATCGAAACAAATTTAATCGAAAATGAACAGTACATATCAGAAACTAAATTAAATTTTTATATAAAAGCTCCAGAGAAGCAGTTTCTGAAATTAAGCAGATCATCGATAAAAAGCTAAACGAACATAGCAGATCTAAAAATAGTGATTTTAGTGCAAATCGTAATAGTGAAAATATGCCAACAGTTGATATCAAATTGGGAACCTCGTTGGTTAATACCTACGACGGTTCCCCGGGGCAGCTAAGTGCTTTCATTGACGCTGTCGAATTGGTTTCCGACACCGTCGATACAACATTTAACGGTGCATCGGCAGCAGAAAAAGCCACAGCACAGGCTACAGTAGTATGCTTCATTAAAACAAGACTAACCGGCACCGCGCGTCAAGCGGTTGGAGATTTGAATGATCTCCCACAAATCATTGATTCAATTAAACGACGATGTTCTCCTAAGATAACATCGGATAATATTTTAGCAAAACTAAAAACTACTAAGCAGCATTCAACTGCTGAAAGTTTCTGCGATGCAGTTGAAAAATTAACCAACGATCTGAGATCTGCCTATCTCACCGAAAGAATCCCTCCGGAGACTGCCGAAAAAATGGCTACGAAGAGAGGAGTGGAAACACTAATAAATGGCACCAAGAATCAGGATACGAAGTTGATCTTGAAAGCAGGCAACTTCGACAATTTTAATGACGCAGTTCAAAAACTGCAAGAGAACGAGACAGCAGATACATCCCGACCACATATTTTTCATGTAAGAGGACATGCCAACCACCGTGGTCGAGGTCGTGGTTACAGTAGCCGAGGAAATAGACCTCGCGGTAGAGTAACACACAACAATAGTGGACGTTACAATAGTAACCAAAACTTTAATCAATACAACAATAACAATTACAGGAACGGTAACAATAATAATTGGCGTGGTAGAAATTATCAACAATTCAATCCACGTAGTCAAGGACCTGGTCGACAAATTTTTTACAATAGCCAGTTAAACGACCAAGTCACCCAACAACAAACTGGGGGAATAGTCACGATGAATCCACCGATTCAACCACAAAATCAAATCAACCAACCCGTGCAGCTAGCACAAATAGCGTACCGGCAGTGAAACAATTTTTTTCAATTAATGCTGCTTGCAGTAATTTCGTAGTCTTGAAGTTAGATTTTCTCGACACAGAATGCACCTTGCTTGTGGATTCTGGAGCAGACATATCTATTTTCAAGGCCAGAAAAATACTCCCCACAACTTTTGTTAATACTAATGACCAATGCTATATTTCTGGAATTAACGGCCAAACAGTGTTTACTTTAGGTACTGCTACATCAAATATTTTACTACCAAACCAAGGAAAACTGCAACATAAATTTCATTTAGTTGATGGTCAATTACCGATTCCTACCGATGGTAGAGATTTTCTATGCAATTATTTCTGTTCAATTAATTATGACATCTGGATGCTAACAGGTAGATGCAAATCTGAAGTTTTCGAAATCCCCATTCATGATGACATGGATGGTAATATTTTTCTTCCACCTCGATGCGAAGTGTTTAGACGCATAAATATCGGAGATACTCATAAAACCTTCTTAGTAAAATCCAATGCAATAATGCCAGGAGTGTTTATCTCTAATTCTATAATCAATTCCAACAACCCCGTTTTGAAATTTTTGAACACTACAAACGAAACGGTCAAAGTTAAACGAAATTTTTCTCGTCATTTATTCGATATTGAAAACTATGAAATTTATTCTTTCAATAAATTACCAAACGATGATTCTAGGCATCAGCAGTTATTATCTGAACTAAATTTGGAACACACCCCACAAGATGTAAAATTAAATGTAATGAATTTGTGCTAGAAATATCAAGACATCTTTGCTTTGGAAACAGATAATCTTACATGTAACAATTTTTATAAACAGACAATAAACCTCACCGACAATTCACCGGTTTACATTAAAAATTACAGACTTCCCGAAATTCATCGCGAGGAAATCAAAGTTCAAGTTGATCAAATGTTGCAAGGAGATATTATACAGCCTTCAGTATCTCCTTACAACTCACCGATACTGGTTGTCCCTAAGAAATCTACGACAGACGATAAAAAATGGCGTCTCGTTATAGACTTTAGGCAACTGAATAAGAAAATTCTAGGAGATAAATTTCCGCTCCCTAGAATTGATGATATTTTAGATTAGTTAGGTAGAGCAAAATATTTCTCTACTTTAGATCTAATGTCCGGATTTCATCAAATCGAAATTGATGATGCTTCGAAACAATTTACAGCCTTCTCCACCGAAACAGGTCATTACGAATTTAAGAGACTTCCTTTTGGTCTCAATATATCGGCCATATAATATATTGCCAATATAGCACTACACTGTTAATACTGGTTTGCTGTTGGAAATGAAGTTTCTTATGAAGAATCCCGCTTTATTGTGGATTTCAATGACGTCTTTTATTGTTGCAATAGCAAAGTTCTGGCAACACTGGCCGTTGTCCTCCCCCATCGCTGCAGTGAATTTGGACGATGAGGTAGTAAGTATGACAGATGAAGTGACGGATTGAAGAGAGGAGGATAGATAGATAGATAGATAGAAGATAATCTGTCAAAGAACGGAAGGTAGAAATCACAAACAATACAGCATCGTTTAGAAAGTGCTTAAAAGTGAGTTTTTTTAGTATTCTGTGCTTTGGGGAAAAAAAAGAAAGGTTGTTTAAAGGAGGAGGAACAACTTTATTTACGGTTGATTTACAAAAAAAAAAAACGGTTTTGTTTTTCTTTAATCCGAACAAAATCAAAAAAAATTATTTTGAAGAACTTCGGAATGGCCTTTTTATCTTCCAAGGACGAGCATTGTTTGTTTTGCGCAATGACGGAGTCAACGTTTGCGAATGTTAATTGGGTTCAATGCGAGAAATGTGAACATTGGGCTCCTTTTTCGTGGGCTGGTGTAGACCAGGAGGTAGCCAATACCGATTGGCGTTGCCCACAGTGTGTCTTAACGAGTGCTCAGCAGTTGTAGGTTCCAGACACAGGAGGCAAGAAGCGAGGTGGAAAGAAGTCTGGCCAAAAGGGCGATGGAGGGTCTGATCAGGGAGCTGGTTCCAACGTTGATCCAATTGAAAAACAAATGGAAGAAGAACAGCTCGCCAAGGAGAAGGCTTTCGTGAGGTAAATGGAGGCGCGGAAAAAGCTACTCGCTCGGCAGAAGGCGTGGAAGGAAGAACAGCTGATGCAGGAAAGAGAGATGCGTGAGCTGGAACTCCAGGTTCAGCGAGAAATGGAGACACAGCAGTTGGAGTACGAGCAGGAAATGTTGGAGACTCAACTGGCTGCAGAGAAGGAGTTTTTAATGAAGCGGGAGGCAATCCGGATGCATTCAGACAGCAGTATCAGCAGAATTAACGCACTGAAGGACCAAGATGGTGCCATTGGTGGATTTTCGAAGGGCAATCCGAACCAGAAGCAACAGTAGTGGTTGGATGATATGAAGAAGGTAGTCGAGCAGAAGTCAAGAACTGATTTTCGAGGAGCGTACCCGAAAGGAGGTGACCCACAGAAAGGGATAGGACCAAACAAAAGCGATAAGACGAAGGAACTGAAGAAGTTGCCTGTCGTTGATGCCGAGACCGAATCCAGTGAATATATTCAGAGCAGCGAATCGTGGGATGTGTTCGCGAACGAATCGTTCGCTCCGGAAAGACTGCCGAATGAAACCGAACGACGCACACCAACAGAAGCAGCGGCAGCAGTAGAAGCGACGCACACCAACAAAGGCAACCTTCAAGAAGAAAACGTAGAATAGCGCGCAACGCTCCGCCCATTATACGTTGTTGGATCGGTGAATGAGCTCAGTTAATTTTTGTATCGCACACGGCTAATATCGGAGAACAAAAGATTAAAAGTTAAAACTTGTCCTCCTTTTATTCTGCCGCTTTCGAAACCGCATTCGCTGGACTGGTCGACCAACTGACTCGATTCTGCTTGTTTTCCGCCTTGACGAGGAGAATTCACCGCCTTGGTGCCAAGGAGCACGCCAACACATGGTCCTACCGAACCGGATAACCAACCAGTGTCGTGTCAACATTGAATTCCAGTGTAGAAAAAGTGGATCAAAATGCCGAAAACGAGAAAGTCTACCAAGCAGGTGGCAGTAGATGATGCCAAGGCAGCATTAGTTCACCAGCGTCGCCAAATTCAGGCAAAGGTGACAACGATAAGTCGCACACTTGAAGAAGCTGAGGATACTCCAAGTAAAATTTGTGCATCGCTCTTGAAAGTGTTTTCGAAAAAGCTCGTACTACATTACAACGAGTTCATTTCAATTCACCAAGCAATAGTTGCTTCCACACCCCCCAATGAGATTGAGCTGGAAGATGATGCTTTGGATATTTTCGACGCTCTCCATACCAACACGCTTACCTTGCTTGAACTGCTCACCGAAACCATTTCCCCTTCCGATGCTAGAGGTGTAAATCAATCCGTTATCATCCAGCAGCAATCACTGCAAGCTCCAGTTCCCACATTCGACGGGAAGGTAGAGAATTGGCCGAAATTTTGGGTGATGTTTGAGGATATTGTCGGACGGAGCGCCGATTCCGATGCAGTTAAGCTGCATCATCTCGATAAGGCGCTAACGGGTGATGCCTCCGGTTGGATTACGGCAAAAATGATCGTTGACAACAACTTCAAACAAACCTGGCAACAGCTCAGTGACCAGTACGAAAACCCACGAGTAATCGTCGATACGCATCTCGAAGGTTTGCTCGAGATGAAACCGATGACCACCCGCAACCATGAAGATTTACTCGAGCTAGTGAAGACATTCATCCGTCATGTTGGCGGTCTCGAGTACCAGGGACTAGAAGTTGATGAACTATCTGGTCTCATCCTCACGAAGATCCTCACTTCACGATTGGACGATCAAACACTCCAGTTATGGGAGAGGACACAGCAGCATGCCAAGCTGCCCCAGTACCAAGAAACTGTGGCCTTTCTTCGAAGCGAATGCCAGGTGTTGGAAAGGTTCCAAAACCGGCACCAGATGACGGCAAAAGAGCCATTGCCAAGGCAACAACAGGGTTCGAAACCAACTAACCAGAAAGCCCACGCTGCAACGACTGTGACCTCCAGCAGTTCCTGCCAGGTATGTAGAGGCTACCATCGCCATTTCGAATGCCCGAAGTTCCATCAAATGTCACCGGCTCAACGGAATGAAAAAGTGAAGGAGTTCAGAATCTGTTTCAACTGCCTTCGCCCTGGTCATCGAGCCATTGATTGTTCGTCCAAAAAGACGGGCTCTCGCTACCAGAGAAGACATCACACTCTGTTGCATGAAGAAGCAGATTCGAATGCAGTGGAGGTGGCACCAACCATACAAAATGAAGAACCAGCTTGCCAAACCTCTTCCGAGAACCATTTGGAGTCTCAACTAGTCACCGAAACTGTTGCGTCGTGCAACCATTCTAAAGCTGCCAAAACAGTGATGCTCATAACCGCTGTGGTGCGAATCAAGGATTCTCGTGGATGGACAACTCCCTGTCGTGTTCTGTTGGATAGCGGCTCGCAAGTCAACTTCCTATCCAAGGCAATGGCTGACCGCTTGGCCACCGAAAGACGGCCTGCACATGTACCCATCGCTGGAATAGGTGGGTCCAAAACCTACGCCAAGGAGAAGATGATGGTGGAAGTGGAGTCCAGGCATTCCGGTTTCTGTACTACTATCGAATGCCTCGTAGTTCCTGAGATAACTTGAGCGATTCCAGCAACGAAAATCAATGTTTCGGCGTGGCCAATCGACACCGATCTACTTATGGCAGACCCCAACTTCCACACTCCTTCCGATATCGATATGCTAATCGGTATCTCCCATTTTTTGCAATTGCTAAAGACGGGCCGTATTCAACTGAGTGATAAGTTACCTGAACTACAAGAAACCCATTTAGGATGGGTAGTTGCAGGAGACATCGACGACGTGTCAACCTCCCAGCAGTGTCTAGCTGCCCTGACGGATCCTATTTCTGAAGTCCTTCGCCAATTCTGGGAGCTGGAGGAGATCTCTGAGTCAGTAACACAACCCAGCGAGCAAGATAAGTGCGAAAAAGTATTCCAGTCTACCCATCGTCGAGATGAAACCGGCAGATATTAGATACGCATGGCACTACTTCACGCGTGTTTCCAACGAATTTTCTGGCAGTCAAGCCCGGAAGAACCTCTCCGTGTCCTGGAACTCACAACCGTTACTTGCGGGACAGCTGCAGCCCCATTCTTGGCGACCAGATGTTTGATACAGCTCTGTGACGATGAAGGCGGCTCATTTCCACTCGCTGCACGAATCATCCGCCTAGATTGTTACGTCGATGATGTCATCTCAGGTGCGAACACCGTAGAGGAAGCCATCGCAAGTCAAACCCAAATTCAACAGCTACTTGAACAAGGTGGATTCCCGGTCCACAAATGGAGTTCTAACACAACAGAAGTTCTAGAAAACGTTCCAGAAGCCGACCGTGAGAAATTAGTACGTATGGACAACACTCCAATCGACGTTATGAAGACATTGGGATTGATCTGGAGCCCACAACGAGATGAATTTGTGTTCAGCACCAATCAAACCGATCGAGAAGCAAGCCATCCTACGAAGCGTACAGTGTTATCCGAAATTGGCAGACTGTTCGATCCACTGGGTCTTGTGACGCCGGTAACCATTATCGCCAAAATGATCATGCAGAGGATTTGGATATCCGGTCTCCCGTGGGATACCCCGTTGGAAGGAGAACTTCTACAATCCTGGAAACAATTCCGTGAAGCCCTACTCCTGGTAAGCGAAATCAAGATTCCTCGATGCACCATTTCTTCTGATGCCACCACCATCGAAATCCATGGCTTCTCCGACGCCTCGGTGGCTGCTTACGGAGCGGTCATTTATATTCGCTGTATCCTACCGAATGATAAAGCTCGACTCAAAATGCTATGCAGCAAGTCAAAGGTCACTCCGATAGCTGAATTGAGCGTTCCACGCAAAGAATTACTCGGTGCCCGGCTACTTGCCCGGCTACTCGTAAAAGTGCTGGACTCCCTTCAACTAGATGTATCGCAAGTTGTTCTGTGGTGCGACAGTCAGGTGGTACTTGCCTGGTTGCGGAAGCCATTATCATCCCTTGAAGTGTTTGTGCGCAACCGCGTGGCAGAGATTTTGAAGAGCACCGAAGGCTACACGTGGAAGTACATCAAATCGAAACAAAACCCAGCAGATTTAGTATCCAGAGGTCAATTTCCACACGCCCTGAGCACCAATGAACTTTGGTGGAATGGGCCGACATTTCTAAGCACCGCGCAGTACCAGTTGGAACTTCCCGATGACATCGCAGATGAAGATCTTCCGGAGTTGAAAAAGGTAAATGTAACCGCCATTCCAGTCGTTAACGAGGAGAAGATGGAAGTATTTTCTAGGTTCAGCTCGTTCAGAAAGCTTCAACGGGTAGTCACGTTGGTCCAGCGATTTATCCGTAACTGTCGACTGAAATCTCGCAACGAACGAGTCCTTCAACGTCATCCTACAATCCAAGAACTACGCTCGGCTTTACAGCTGATTGTAAGGGTCATTCAGCTTGAAGCTCTGGGTGACGAGATTCATCGTGTGACATCCAACGAACCGTGTAAGAAAATTGCTGCTCTGAATCCGATTTACAACGATGGAGTGCTGCGCGTTGGAGGAAGGCTTCAACATTCCCTGCTACTTTTTGAAACCAAGCATCCGCGAAGAGAACCTGCATGTTGGTCCAACTGCCCTATTGGCCGCTCTCCGATCACGTTTTTGGTTGCTGGATGGAAGGTCGTCCGTCAGGAAGATTACCAGGAGCTGCATCACATGTTTCCGGTCGAAGCCTAAAGGTTCTATTCAACTGATGGGAAATCTGCCGCCCTGCCGAGTAACACCCGCTGAACCGTTTTTAAAAACTGGCATTGACTATGCCGGACCAGTATTTGTCAAGGAAGGTCGTCACAAGCCGAAAATTGTCAAGGTCTACATCGCGGTGTTTATCTGCATGTCAACGAAAGCTGTCCATTTGGAATTAGTTCCCGACATCTCTACCGCCGCGTTCCTAGCTGCACTTCAGCGCTTCGTCAGCCAACGGGGCATTTGCCGAGAGGTCTTTTCAGATAATGGCTCCAACTTCAACGGAGCCAAATCTGAATTACATGATCTATATTTCCTATTTCGCAACCGCAATGCCGTTGACGAGATAGCATCCTTCTGCCAGCCAAAGGAGATCTCCTGGAAATTTATCCCACCGGAAGCTCCTAAATTTGGCGGCCTCTGGGAGAGCGCAGTGAAGACCGCTAAGTATCACCTGAAGAGAACTCTAAAAAATGCCAAATTGACTTTTGAAGAGTATGCTACAGTCTTTAGCCAAGTGGAGGCTATAATGAATTCCCGGCCTCTCTGTTCAACATCAGATCCAGACGACGAAATTTTGACACCGGGCCATTTTTTGATTGGCCGTCCTCTGATAGCCACGCCGGAGCCTAGCTACAATGAGATACCAACCAATCACCTGACAAGATGGCAGTATCTACAGTACCTCCGTGAGCAGTTCTGGAGACAATGGAGCTGGGACTACTTGTTGAACCTGCAACTGAGGGGAAAAAACCGCCAAAGACAACCAAACATTCGCCCTGGTATGATCGTGCTGCTTGAGCAGAAGGATATCCCACCGCAATGTTGGAAGATGGGAAAGGTCGTCCAGATTTACCCAGGTTCCGACAATTTGGTGCGAGCGGTAGATATCAACGTCGAAGGTTCCATCTATAGACGAGCGGTATCCAAATTATCCGTCCTTCCGATTGCTGACAATGAAGACCAAAACATCGATTCAGTGAATTCTTCGCAGCCTAGGGGAATATGTTCGCGACCGAACCGTTCGCTCCGGAAAGACTGCCGAATGAAACCGAACGACGCACACCAACAGAAGCAGCGGCAGCAGTGGAAGCGACGCACACCAAAAAAGGCAACCTACAAGAAGAAAACGTAGAATAACGCGCAACGCTCCGCCCATTATACGTTGTCGGATCAGTGAATGAGTGTAAATAAAGCAGCCCATTCGTGAATGAGCTCTGTTAATTTTTGTATCGCACACGGCTAATATCGGAGAATAAAAGATTAAAAGTTAAAACTTGTCCTCCTTTTATTCTGCCGCTTTCGACACCGCATTCGATGGACTGGTTGACCAACTGACTCGATTCTGCTTGTTTTCCGCCTTGACGAGGAGAATTCACCACCTTGGTACCAAGGAGCGCGCCAACAGGATGATCAACGGCGACGTGTTGGTGGAATCTCGAGGGATCAGCTGGCTGCTTGCAAAACAATTTCGCAGCATCTTCCAAAGTTTAGAGGAGAACCGGAAGTCTGGCCGCTTTTTATTAGTAGTTTAGAATATACGACGGAGGCGTGTGGGTTCTCAAACCTGGAGAATATGAAGCGTCTGCAGGACTGCCTACAAGGTGACGCGCTTGAAGCAGTTAGGAGTCGGCTCATTCTGCCGGATTCCGTTCCGAACGTGATTTGCGACCTACGGAATCTGTTCGGGATGCCGGAAAAGCTGCTGAAGACGCTGCTGATGAAAGTGAGGAACGCTTCGGCGTCGCGTGCTGATCGGCTGGAGACGTTCGTGAATTTTGGGATTACGGTGAAGCAGCTGTGCGAATGGACAGGTTGACCCCAAGCTACAAGCTGGATTGGGTCAGGTTCAAGCGCAACAAGGTTGGCCGTCCCCTGGGAGTATTTACGGAGTTTACCAACGACATTATTTCCGATGTGTCTGAAGTAACAGAGTTTTCTTCTTTGTCGGTGAACGAGCGAGCACGGTCGGGGCGAGATAATTCCCGAAAGAAGGAGTTCATGCATGTGCATGATTATGAGCAGAAGCAGATTGAAGGACCACGTAATGTGGTGGCCAGCCATCCTTGCTGGATTTGTAAACGGACGGATCACATGATCAAGAGCTGCGAAGAGTTCAAGCGGATGAACATAGCGGAACGACTAAGGGAAGTGGACAAGCAGAAACTGTGTGGAGTCTGTCTTAACAAGCACGGTGAAAATCGTTATTTTTCGAAGATCCGATGTATGGCGTGGAACTGCCAAGGCAATCACCATCCTCTATTGCATCGGGTAGAAGAATCTGTTCAATTACAGAAAGCCAAATCAGACTGCACGGTGATTTTCCGGATGATGTCGGTGACGCTCTATGTCGGTAAGCGGCAGTACGACACTGTTGCATTTCTGGACTAAGGGTCGTCTGCTACGTTGGTGGACGATGGGGTGGCCAAACGGCTGAAGGCAGAAGGAACGCTTGAACCACTGATAGTCACGTGGACCGGAAACATCAACCGTTTTGAGAACGAATCGCGTAGTGTAGAGATGATGATGTTGGCGAAGGGCTCCAAGGAGAAGTTTTCGTTGTTCAACACACGAACGGTGTCCGAGTTGCAGTTGCCACAACAGAATTTACGATACGCTGAGGTGGTGAACCGTTATCCGCATCTTGTTGGAGTGCCGGTGAGGGATTTTCCGTCTGGACTTCCAACGATTCTAATCGGATTGGACAATCTCCATCTGTTCGCGCCGTTGGAGTCACGGGTCGGGAACCGAACGAACCAATCGCTGTGCGGTCGAAAATCGAATGGCCGATTTACGGATCGGAGAAACGGAAGCCACGTGTCCATACTTACCTGAATCTGCATTGTGTCACACCAGTGAGTAACCAGGAACTGGATGACATGATCTGAAATCAGTACGTGCTGGATGAAACTGCAGCAGCATTGTACGCAACCCCAGAACCAATTGAGGAGAAAAGGGCTCGCGAGATCCTTCAAGCGACGACAAAAAGGGTAGGTAATCGTTTCGAAATGGGCCTATTGTGGCGTGAAGATGTGCGGCGATTTCCGGACAGCTACCCGTTGGCCGTTCGAAGGATGCGAGCGCTTGAGCGAAAGCTTGGTAAAGATCTTGCGTTGAAACAGATGGTATGTCAGGAGATTGAGGACTATCAGACCAAGGGTTATGCACACAAGATAACTGCAGAAGAACTAGCAGATACTCCAAGCTCGGTGGTGTGGTATCTTCCGTTGAATGTGGTGCTAAATCCGAAGAAACCTGGTAAAGTGCGTATGGTGTGGGATGCGGCTGCATCAGTTGGAGGAGTGTCGTTGAACTCGGAACTGCTGAAAGGACCGGACATATTGATTCCCCCGAGGTGCGATTCACTTGTGTATTTTCGATTCAGGCCAACGTATTGAAGTATTTTTTATCGAATAAACGTGTATTTTGCGTATTAATGTATTATTTTGCACTTTTTGAATATATGTAATTTTCTGTGTATTAGAAAAATAAAAGTGTATTTTTATGCATTAATGTATTGAAAATCAGTTATAAGTGTATTTTGTCAGTTCAGTGTTTATGTTTACCACTCGAACCGATAATCAAACGGATCAAACTCACAATGTTGACGTTTTGTTTGACAAATGCACAGCACACGCTAACTTTGAAATACCCACTGATGAGTAGAATTTCACTCAATTTAAAGAAAAGAGGCTTAACTCATAAACTCATTAGGGGCTTGACATTAGTTACGTAGACAGATTTTTGGGATTCTTGAGCCACCCCACCCACCTACGTTGACAACTGTCCATACAAAACTTTAAAAATGTGTATGGGCCGTGGATAATTTCCAACTAACCCCTCTCCCCCGTAGTTCATGAACAGCCCCTTACCTCGCTCATTACGCATAAATAAGCATCTGTTACCAAGTCTGTTACGCCTTCGTTACTTATTTTTGGGTCACAACTACTCATTAATGTTTTTTTATTTAATAAACGATTTAAGGCACTTTTCTTAAAAATGGGTGAAATCCTACTCATCAATGCATTGTTTTGTGATTCGAGCTCGGATTAAAATAAAAAATAATAAATTTACGCATTTTGTCCGAATTCAGCATTTTGATTGTACATATTTCGAATTTTTCGTGCAAATGACGAATTATCGTGTATTTTTATTATTCGTCGAATATTTGTGTATGTTTTCCGAATTTTGTATTTTTTTTTGCATTTTTTTGAGTAATGACGAGTTATGATGAATTTTTGTGTATTTTTTTCATTCACGCATTTTCGATTCATTTTTGAGAGCAGTGAATTGCCCCTCGGGTTCCCCTTCCGAAAGTTGTTTGCTGTTTCCGGGAAGGTCGAATTGCATTCGGAGGCGACATTCAGGAAATGTACCACCAGATGAATATTCGGTGTGAAGACAAGCAAGCACTACGATTTCTGTTCGGGACGGATGAAAGTGGAGCACCTCAAGGATACGTGATGGACGTGGCAACGTTCGGCGCCACGTGTTCACCTTGCTCCGCCCAATATGTAAAAAATCTAAACGCGGAACAGTTTGCAGAGCAGTATCCAGAAGCAGCGGCAGCGATCATAAAGAAACATTATGTGGACGATTACTATGACAGTGTAGATACCGTCGACGAAGCGATACGAAGGGCCAAGGAGGTGAAGTACATCCACTAGCAGGGTGGATGCAATATACGAAACTGGATGTCTAACTCGGAGGCATTCCTAGAGGAACTCGAAGATCGCAGTGCAAACAGAGCAGTTCACTTTTCCCGGGATAAAAACGCAGAGTATGAGCATGTACTGGGCATAGTTTGGAAGTCGATGGAAGACGTATTCTGTTTCGCAACTACGTCGAATGTGGAATCCTTTATGGTTATCGGCGGCGAAGAGTATCCTACGAAGCGGATTATCCTCAGTTACGTAATGGCGCAATTAGATCCAGTGGGATTCCTCACTCCGGTTACTATACTTGGAAAAATGCTGATCCAAGATCTCTGGCTGTGATTGGGATACGAAAATCGACCAGATTTCCTTCGAAAAATGGCGGCGATGGATACAAATGATGAAGAACATCGGATCGTTCCAGCTACCGCGGAGTTATTTCGGAAATTCCAGATGAAGTTACGGACATACAGCAGCATGTATTCGCTGATGCAGGCGAGGTGGCGTACGGAAGCGTGGTGTATTTTTGGGCAACTGTACGAGGTCAAGCTCAGTGTGCGCTGGTCATGAGCCGTGCTAAAGTTGCACCGTTGAAACAGATCTCAATACCACGACTGGAGCTTCTAGCGGCCGTTTTAGGAGCACGTCTACCATAAATGGTGTTCGAGAGTCATAGTTTTACAATTGACCGGGTGGTGAATTGGATCGACGGAAACGTAGTGGTCTCATGGATTCCATCTGACAAGCGAAGGTATAAACAGTTCGTCGGGTTTCGGATCGGTAAGATACTCAGCCTAACGAAGTTGACGGACTGGCGTTGGGTGCCATCAAGACTAAACGTGGCAGACCAACTAACGAAGTGAGGCAAGGAACCCGAAATGCATACTGACAGCACGTGGGCGCGAGGACCAGCGTTTTTGTACAAGAGTGAGCAGGAGGGGCCAGAAAAGGAAATGCCGCCAGCGAACACGATGGAAGAGCTACGGGTTCACCTCCTATTACATGACGTGAAGGTGCCTGCGGTTTTTGTGGTCGTAAACCGTTTCTCGAAGTGGACAGCTTCATCGACGAACTGAAAGTGTTAACGAGAAACAAGGATCGTCCGGTGAGCCAGTGGATGACTATCGAAAAGTCTAGTCCGCTGTACAAGCTGACTCCGCTGATCGACGAGAATGGACTGATCCGGATGGAGGGTTGAGTGGAGCGAGCGGAATTTCTGCCATACGATCTGCGATTTCAGGTGATTCTGCCAGATGACCATCGGATCACGAGGCTGATAGTTCAGCACTACCATAAGAAGAGTGCCCACGGGTACCGTCAAGCAGTGAGGAACGAGTTGCGGCAGATGTATTACATCCCGCACATAGATGCAGTAGTCAGGAAGGTATCAGCGTCCTGCGTATGGTGCAAGGCGAATCGTTGTCGTCCTGAAGTTCCTAGGATGGCTCCGCTGCCAGTACAGCGTATCACACCAAATCTACGTGCTTTCAGCTACGTCGGGGTCGATTATATGGGACCGTTCGATGTGACCGTAGGACGTAGATCAGAGAAGAAGTGGATTGCACTGTTTACCTGTATGGTAACACGTGCGGTTCATTTGGAAGTGGCACATGGGCTGACCACCCAGTCGTGTTTGATGGCGATATATCGGTTTATTGGTCGCCGGGGCTAGCCGATCGAATTCTTCTCGGACAATGGGACAAACCTACGTGGAGCTAGTAAGGAAGTGGTGGAGGCTGTACAGGGTATTAAAGATGACTGTGCTGACCAGCTAACGAACGCGAGAACGAAGTGGACGTTCAATCTCCCAGCCACACCTCACATGGGAGGCGTCTGGGAGCGCTTAGTCAGCTCAGTGAAGGAAGCGCTGACAGCGTTTGATGATAGAAGGCGACTAACGGGCGAGATACTGCAGACAGCCATCGTTAAAGTGGAGGACATTATCAACTCCCGTCCGCTCACCTACGTGTCGCAGTAGTCCGACGAAGCAGAAGTGCTCACCCCGAATCATTTCTTGCGGGGAGCGTCAGTGAACCAGCCTGGTAGTATCTGTCCACCTCCCCATCCGGCAGTGGCCCTTCGGGATGCGTTTCAGCATTCGCAGCAGGTGGCCAGTGTGATGTGGGAGCGGTGGATTAAGGAGTATGTGCCGACGTTGAACCAAAAAACGAAGTGGTTCGGTGAGGCAAGACCGTTGCGAGCAGGAGATTTAGTTTACGTCGTGGAGGGTGCCAACCGGAAGTGCTGGATCCGCGGAATTGTGGAAGAGATAACCGTATCCGGAGACGGCAGGGTCCGTCAAGCATGGATGCGTACCAATACCGGAAGGTACAAACGAGCGACAGCGAAACTGGCCGTGATGGAGATAGCAGAGGGTAACCCTGAGCTGGATGTGGCTTCCTGGACAGAGTTACGGGCCGGGAAATGTTCTGACAACACTTACCGTTGCCCTCCTCCATCGTTGCAGTAAATTTGGACGATGAGGTAGTAAGTATGACAGATGAAGTGACGGATTGAAGAGAGGAGGATATATAGATAGATAGAAGATAATGTGTCAAATAACGGAAGGTAGAAATCACAAACAATACAGCATCGTTTAGAAAGTGCTAAAAAGTGAGTTTTTTTTTTAGTATTTTGTGCTTTGGGAATTTGTAGAAAGTTTGTGGACAAATTCAGGTCAGTAGAGGCATGGAACGGCAAGCAGACCACTCACAGATAGGCGAAAGTACATTCCAGAGCGGTCAAGGTAGAAGAAAGGTTGTTTGAAGGAGGAACAACAACTTTATTTAGGGTTGATTTACAAAAAAAAAACGGTTTTGTTTTTCTTTGATCCGAACAAGCATCTTCTTTTGAATTAAAGCTATCAATATAATCATCCACTTAGTGTTGCTTTACAATAGCTTCCGCTGCCTTTGGTTTTGTTTCTTTGTTAAGAGCAGCGTTGTAGTTCTTGACGATTTGAGCGCAAGCAGGTGAACATGTTGATCCGAACATCATTATCTGCATAACGTTGAATCGGTAGATGTAGATTTGTAACTGTTCTTACATCCTTCAATGAATTCAAAGCCTTTTAAGAAGATCCACTGATTCTGAGTTGTACTCGTTTACTTCATTTCTCTTCCCTGGAGAAGTTTTGGGACCACTTTAATTTTAGTGGATCAGATCTGCCGTTTAGATGTAGCTGATCCGCAACATGTTCGTCCAGCAAGGTTAAAGATGATCCTGGATCCAAAAACGCATATGTAATCCTGATGAACATTTGAAGTATTTTCTTCGTTGCTACTTCGTGAGTCCTCTCGTGCTGTTTCGTTCAGCTTATTCTTGTGATGTTGCGGTTCATAATTTTTATTAGGCCCCTTGCTATAATATCGCAAGTTGTCGTTTTTGTTCTGCTCATTATAATATCGCGACTTATTAATTGTTGCTTTTCCTTGCACCTCATTTTGATATTGTCGATGTAATAATCGATTATGCAATTACAATTATTCACTCCGCATTTGTTATTAGACCAACAATTTGTTATTGTATAGTTACCGGCTAGACACCTCAAACATAATCTGTGCTTCATTGCCGCCTGGGTGCGGTTCTCGACAGACATATTTTTAAATTTATTACACTGTGTTATTCGATGTTCCTCCTTACATAACAAACAGGTAATTTTATTCACACTTTTTTTTCTTGATGTACGTTTTAATCTATTCCTTTTTTCGTATATCTGCTGTTGCGGGTGCAACAGCCTGTGGGACCATAAGTTCAAATCCTTCAAGCAAGGTACTCTGTCATTATTTTGACATACTTCCATCCATTTAATTTGGATATTATACTGTAATTTTTGTATCGTCTCTTCCACCAATCGTGGATCGTTCAAGTACTCTTCTTTGTTTAGTACTACGATGTTGTTCACGAGATTTTCCAATGCATAGGAAATCTCAGTTAGAACTGATTTGCTTTCTTTTCGAATTTTATGCAAATCATTTACTAGCTCTTTATATATGAATTCAACTCAACAAATTCCATAATTTTGTTCCAACCTTTCCAAAATTTTAGGAACATTAGCAGGATCTAGGATTAGCGGTTGCACACTTTTGACGGCTTTCTAGAACCTGCTGTAGTCTGGTCAGATTCTATATATTTGTGAACCTTCCTTCCTTTGTGGTTTAATCAAATATTTTACTGAACATTGGCCATTTTCTGGCAGACCCATCAAATTTTGGCAATTGCAGCAGAGCTTGACGCTTTAAATATATCGTCCAATCTTCCTGCTTTACTTGTGATGGTCCAGCATCTCTCTGGTCATTCTTAAATGATTCCAGTTTTTATTTTATTTGCTCAACAATTTGCACTTTTCTTCTTTGGATGGTAAGCCTTCTAGCTCAGCACATCCATAGTGAAACCAGCGGTCGCATTCATCGCATGCGACCATATCCTGTTTAGAGTCAGGATCTGTGCATAAACGGCAATGACCGTTATTGTTAACTACAAACTTGAATGACATTTTGCTTGCCTTCAAGACTTCTTCTGTGATCTTTACCTCACCGGGAATGTCGTGGGTGAAGAATTCCACCTTCGAAATCCTCAGGTGGGGGACGACCAAGTCATACTCCGCTTTGATATGGAGTACCTTCTTAGTGCCGACTCTACCCAACTTGTATTCGGCTTTAACGCTCAGCGTCGCTAGATCCGCGGAATTTTTTTAGTGTATTTATGCTAAGAGATAAGCATTGTAAGTCCCTCCTACTTCGAGAATTATGCAATCGAACGGCTTGCTATTCCTTGCCCCATCAGCAAAAAATACGGTATTTTACAAACCGTTCTATAGCATAATTTTCCAAGTAGGATGGACTTACAAAGCTAATCTAAAAACATAAATGGAGGTAACGTCTGATAACTTCAGTGCTGATATCTGAAATCTGTGAAGGGAAATCCTTTTTTTACCTCCACAAAAACACCCCGACTTCTTATTCAAAATAATAAAAGATGTACCGAGAATTAAATGGAGCTAAACTATTCTGATCACGCGATATCACGATCAATACCGAAAATTCGCATAAATGTCAAACTCGTTTTTGTGTGCTTTTTTAAAGCATTCTGAGGAAGCTCTACCTGAATATTAAAATAGGAACATTGTTGAGACATGCCACTGATGTCCCTGTTGCCCAATACTTAGGAAACTGTCATAAATAACGTAGTAATGTCTGGAACGCGCAAAAATTGGTCAACTTCAAATTGGTGTATTTCTGTTAAACATGCATAAAAATCCTGAAATGTTGCATTTGGAAGATGAGTTTTCACCGTTTGCTCACCAGTTTTCAAAACGACGCCCAAGCAAGAGGAGCAGCAAGTCAAAAATTTGCTCGCGCAGCAAGAGAATGCGACGTTCTCACACAAAACTTATGTGAAGGCGGATTTCAATCAGCTTCCTGGACAGGAGTTTTATACCGCATCAGGAGAAGGGAAGGTGGCTGAAATTTTCAAAACCATCAAATTATCGAAGTTCGAAAAAAAAAATATCTCGTCTGGCAGGCCATATGCACGTGTGGTTTAAAAAGCGGGATTTTCATTACTACGGGAACCATCAATCAAGAGATCTACGTCCAGGAGTGCTATGGGAAAAAGGCAATCGAGTGGTACGATGCGAACAACGTGGTTGTTTGGGTACCACAACCACGTTGTTCGCATCGTACCACTCGATTGCCACAACCCTCCTAACAGCCCAGAACTCCGCCCTATTGAACAGTATTGGGCCTTGGTCAAACGGAATTTCAAAAAAAAAAACTAATAAATCCATGGAAAACGAGCAGCAGATCAAATCTAACTGGCGTTCGGCGGCAAATAAGGTCGATGAAACCATTATGCAAAATTTAATGGAAGGGGTTAAACGGAAGGACCGGCAGTTCGGATTTGGCAAACCAAAATAATAAACGAACATTTTTTTCTTTTAAATATATGAACTGAACTATCAAAAGAAAAATAAGAAGATTTTGGTGAAATAAATTTTGACTGAAAGAAATGTTTTTTGTTTTTTTTTTTTTTTTTTGTTGGCCAAGTCTTTAGTTAAGAAATGAGAGGGGTTTCAGAAGTTGTGACCAGCCATGTATTAAGTAAATCAAAACACTCTACGAAGGAGAAGGGTGTAAATGGCCAAAAAAAATTCTACGTCATTTATGGATGGTGCCTTATTTTACCTTTTTGGTAATGACATCGAAAACTTTCAATTAATAACTGTGGAAGTGCATTTAGAACACTAAATTTAGAGCACGTAATAAGCTAAAATGCACTAAGCAATAAACTTGAAATGCGAATAAGAAGAGTTATCGAATAACCCTTCATCTGAGCGTGGTTATTTCTGACCGACTAGAAGTTAAATTATGGCCACCGTGGCTGAGTTCTGTTTGAAAACCGATCAATTTTCGGGATTTTCGAATATTGAAAATAGCTTACGAAATGTCACGTTTAACCACGAGTTAAATTTGACTCGGCAATTGGGAGTATTTTTCGATTACTTTTTCGAAGGGATGTATCAGCTTTTGTAAACGCATTTGATCGTCGATTTGGCGTAACTGGCAGATCACCCACGCATGCTAACATAGGGGAAATTTTCGCCTACCTGATATAGTGGTGTTAGATGGGTGGGCGAGCTATCAGTTACGCCAAACCGACGATGAAATGCGTTGTTTAAAAGCTGATATGTACTTTCGGAAAAGTAATCGAAATTTGTAGAACGCGGAATCGTTATCACTCAGACAAGGAGGTTGATTTATTTCGGAGCACTTGCGCCATCAAGGCCAGCAGCCAGTGATCTCGACGGAAACGACGTGCAAGGTTCGAGGTGGAAAACTCGAACGCTGCGCACTTGACAGGAACGGCTGTCTTCCTACTGCATCTGCTATTGCTGCTGCTGCGGCTGCTACCTGGTCACACACCGTCTGAAGAGAAAATGAGTTGAGGCACAAAATCAGAGCTGTTTATAACTTTTCAGATTCACGCAGCACGATGTGCAACCAAATGCTACTCGATTATGACGACTGGGTTTGGGGAGAACGTTTATTTCATGAAAACAGTGATAAAGTTTTCGCTTTTTATTTGTATATTTTTCAACAGTTTTTATGGCGTTTATGAGAGTTTAGCAGATTATGAGAGTTATTTCCTATTTATTGGTGTATTTTTATTTTTATTTCATTTATAAATGCCATAGTTATAAGTGTTCAAACCCTTACACCTGTTGTGACGGTCGCAATTTTAGA